AGTTCACTTAATCTTAAAAATACTTGAGCAAACTTGGTCAATGTTTCTCAATTCAGAGAAGCTCATTGTCACAAATGTAAGGCCCTGTCTTTTAAGAGATTATTTTTCACCAGCTACAGAAAGAAAGCCATCCTTAGTGAATTTACTGCATATATGCAAATCCTCTGAAACCACAGTGCTGTAACAATGGTTTCTTTATAACACTGCATGATACAGCTAAAAATGGAATAATATGTAGTAAATCTATACTAATCTGCATTAATCCTCAGTATTGTAAAGATGCATTCTTACAAGGAAGCTGTGCTGTATTGCCAAGGAATCAGTTTGTATTTGTTTAACAAGCAAGATCTTAGGACAGTATATTATGTTATCATACTGACATCATTGTTAGAAAAGGGGGATTTACATTCTTAAATATGATCTTGCAAATTTGTTCATACAGTTGTGGTGTTCAGATCTAAAAATGCAAGACAATGAAAGTACATGAGGATTATATTTTGGTTAAAAGAGACCAAAGGGAATGGTTTTCAACTTTGTAAGATTAGTGAGAATTCATTATATGGTTACAGATTTTAGTTCTAGTTACTGAAAATGACTTGAACTTTTGAAAGAGACAAACTTCCCCCTTTCGTGTATTGAAAACCCAATACACACTAATGTTAACTATCTCCTAAGTATAAAACTAAGTAGCATAATTTTCTGTGAATGGCCTCTACACTGATCACATTTATCTGGAGTGCTTTTCTTTAACAGGATGTTTTGTCTCTGGTGGACAAAGAAACCCTTCGCACACTGCTCTGCTTCTCTGGTCTTTCGGGTTTACAAATAGTCTATCGATTCTGCTTACAGTTGCTACCTACAATCCGTTCTTTTTTGTGCGGCAAAGTTAGTAATCATATATTACAGGACAAGACGGTTAAAGTAATGTGACGTTTTCTGAGATAAGACCATGCCAGTGTTGTGAACCATTTCTGTTTAATAGGTAGCAACACTGGGGATGTTCTAGTACATATATAATAATTGTGATTTCTGAAAGTTAAAGTTGTAATTTTGTCTGGAATTTTTTAGCAGTAACTGATCACCCTTTAAATTTAATGCTTAGATTTTCCTAGTAAGCCTGAAATGTTCAAAGCTGATATCAGTCCTGCTCATCAACTGCCCAGCCACCCACGACAGGCACTGCTTATGCCTAGGGTTTCAAACAGCAGCAGTACCTTCAACATTCCAAAACTGATGTTAGGGAAATACCTTTTGGTTGAATAGCATGGCCTTGCTTTCCTGATGGAACCAGTTCTGAGTGGGCCCAGAAAGGGGTCTAATTCTCTCTCCCCACTCATATAGCTTAAAAAGCTGTTGTGAATGGCTGGGAAACCCCCTGAAACATACTTTCAAGCAGTCCAGAAGACTGCAGAGGACAGTAAGAGGAGAAAAAAGCCCCATCACACTAATGGACTTCAATTAATACAATCCTGGATTTAACTCCTTAGTAGGATTGACTAAAATAGCACCAAATAATGAGCAAGCTTTAAAGTTCTAAAGCATTCTTGATCAGGAAGGAAGCTAAAGAAAACGGGGCAGAAGAGAAAGAAGTGGCACAGTTTGTTCTAGTAATCAGTGGCATTGAAACTTTTGACCTGGATGTCAAATTCTGACTGGGGAACTGGCTGCATATGGAGTGGGGCCAAGAACAGAGTGTGTGGGGCCAAATGTGACGTAATTTGAATCAGCGTGGTCATTTTTTTCCTCCAAGCCACAGGTCATTCTCTCTCTGCTCAGGTATAAGCCCGCCTGGGAAAGCTTTCAGGCACACAAGCACCAATCAATTCTATGGAATTGCCCTAATGTGGATTAGGGATATTCCCTCATAATGAACCAACACAACAGAATGTACTTTTTGTGTTTTTTCAACAGTAAGGTTGCTCACTTTACTTTTTAATGAATTGCGTATTACTGGGTTTAAGGTTTGTTTTGTCTCCACTGCGGGGCATATTCTGTTTTCCCCTATTTTCCCTTAATCCAGTGCTTTGATGGAGTAAGGAGAATGTGGCTTTTCAAAAGGGATCTCTACCTATCTGCACCTGTCAAGGAATGCACCTGTCTTACAGGACATGGGCAGCCTCTTGGAATATCTGGAACCATGAGTCCTTCTACTGAAAGTCAACCTTATGCCATTTCTTCTACCTAGGATTGGAAGGCGTATTGGAGATACTGAGTGGCGCCATCTTCTGTGGCATGTAAAATATCAAGTTTACTTTGTGGATATAGATGAGATCTGGACAAAGGACTACAGTGCATAATTGCTGTAGGCTTTTAAAGGTAAAAGTAAAGGTTTCCCCATGACATTAAAGTCCAGTCATGTCTGACTCTTGGGGGTGGTGCTCATCTCCGTATCCTAGCCGAGGGACCAGCGTTTGTCCGCAGACAGTCTCCATGGTCATGTGGCCAGGATGACTAAACACCAAGGTGCACAGAACACTGTTACCTTCCCACCAAAGTGGTACCTTTTTATCTACTTGCATTTGTAAGCTTTTGAACTGCAAGGTTGGCAGGAGCTGGGACGGAGCACGGGAGCTCACCCCATCCTGCGGATTCAAACTGTTGACCTTTTGATCAACCAGTCCAGCAGCTCAGCAGTTTAAACCACTGCGCCACCAGGGCATAATTCCTACCTGACTGAGATCAGACCCTTCCTGGCTGAGGTTACTGCTAGAAAGATCACACTCCTCCTCAAGAAATTAGTTCCTCGGATAGACTGACTCTTGTCTTTGAAGGAGAAGGAAGATACATACTTCTACCAAACTTGGAATCTTGTTTATCATTGGTTAGAGAAATGGGACTATATGTAGAATTGAATATGGTTATTACTTTTAAGTAGAATAAGATGTCAACTCAGTATGTCTGATGCCTCAGGAATAATTTTTTTAGTTTAAACCTGTATAGAAAATAATAAAAAATTGAAAACCAAAAGAGTTAAGAAACTGGAGATATGAGCTGAGAATATATGATGGTCAAAAGATGTACTTTGTTTTTCACAATGTATTATCATTACAAATGACACAAAATTGTAAGGTAAAAAGAAAAAGAAATGAGTTCCTTGAGGTGAATGGAGCAGATGGGCTTGAATGGGGCTTGTGAACAGCTTCAAGTATGAGGTAACTTATGGCCAGGAAATCCATGGACAGTGGTAACAGGGAGATGGAAAGATGAGGTAATCTATGGGTGACAGGGGCAGGGAAGCTGACACAACCCACTGCAGCTACTGCCTCTTGAGAGTGTTGGAGACCTTCAAGCCTGTATCACCTTCATCCTAATTCCCTTTGTGAAGCTGTTGGATCTCCCAACTCCAAGTTACACGTAATTCTCGCAATGCATTGAGTGATTTTGCACCAAATTCGTAATGGATTGTGCTCTGTGTACACATATACTGATTGATCTAAACTCTGTCTGTGAAGTAATGGAAATTTTATTAAATAGTATCCTTCCATGGATTAGCAATTCATGTTTATGGCTATGGTTTTATGGCATTTTCTTATCTGTATCATGGGCTACTAAGAGTATACTCTCTTGCTATACCTTATAAAATGTGAGGCAGTGTAATTGGCTGATCTATTCAACCAGTTTATTTTAGTACAGTGAACTACATCACCCATGCAGGTTTTGCCAGTCCTGTAACATTTATACTGATGGCATCAAGAAAGGCCAGGAGTCATGCTTTTTCTTCCCAGTTAAGCAAAATGACAAAGTATCTTCTTGCAATATATGAAAGTGGCAGTTTCCATGCATCCTCAGAAGATATTTGAACCTGATCTCAACCTCCAGCAGGCCAAAGAAAGTGTCATTAAACCCACGCACCCACCCCCACCTCAAAGGATCCCATTATATTGCAGCTTTTACGGATGTTACATGTAAACACAAGATATATATAAAAGAACTAAAATAGGATTAGTGTACTTTGGCTCTAGTTAGTTTAAACCATAACAGTTTAAAATGGATGCAGGTTATGCAGCTGTTTTAGCCATTTGGGACTATTTGCAAGAGATTTCTAGGTGAACTTGATTTCTTGTGTGTGATCATTGTTCTTGTGTAGGGAAAGAAAGTTTTTCATATATTTAGTGAAATGTTATGATGTTTGTTCGCTTGCTAACATGAATTGCTAGGGACGAGGAAAGTGCTGTGCCTTACGTCAGACTGCTGGCCCACCTATCCCAGTATTGTCAGCGATGACTGCCACAGCTCTGCCCTGTTCCGGGCAGGAATCATCCTAGTCCTCAAGGAGACTGGGATGGCACCCAGGATGCTGGGAGGGCAAAGCGGAGGCTCTGCCACTGCAGCACAGCCTCACCTTGGATTACGTGCCAATTAAGTGCAATCCTAAATTGGATGGATATATATTTACACGAGGCTGGGAAAGGCGAACGGAGAGGCCAAAGGGGCATGAAACGGAGGAACAGGCCGAAGCGATTACTTAAAAAAGCAAGATATGCCAGGAGTACCCTTTGCCCCCTTTCACACACGCAAGCACAGAGAGAGATAGAGACGCTCCCCTAAGCTGGCAGCCTCGGGAAGAACGTAAGGGAAGCGTATGAGTGAGAACGATGTAATTAAAAAGCTTTGCTCAGGTAGAGCATTTAAGTCCACTGCTGGTCTGCATCTCTTTAACGAAGGGGATCCGTGAGCGAAAGACGCCCCCGAAGGAGCAGCCTCCCAGCAGACGGCCCGGCTCGCCCCGCTTCTCTGCGGGCTGCACGATGAAGCGGCTCCGTCAAGCGCGGTCTCCGCGCCCTCCGCGCCAAGGGCCTCCTCCGGCGCGCGGGGAAAGCCTCTGCTCCGCTCCCCTCCCGGTTTTCCCCGATCGCGGCGGCGCGCCGTAGGAAGCGGCGAGGGCGGAGCCAGAGGAGGAGAGTGAGCCGTGGGCCGGGGAGGCGGGCCGGGGAAGTGCTACGTGTCTCCTCGGCCCATATATCTACCCCTGCCCGTTGCAGCCAGCCCAGCGGAGCGAGTCGCCGGTCCTCCGTCCCACCCACCTCGCCGCTGCCGGGAGCCCGGGGAGCCGCCGCTGCCGGTCGCGCGCGCCACGGCCATGTCCGAGCACAAGAAGCAGCGGACGGTAGGTGCGGCTCTGGCGGCTCTCCCGCCGCGCTCCTGCGGGGGGCGCTCCTGCGCGCGCCCGGCGTTGCTCCTCGTGCGGCTGCCTGATTGGGTGCGCGCCGCGTCCCGGGCTCCGGGCGAAGCCGGCTCCTGGCCCGGGGGCGCAGCCTCAGGGCGGCTCTGCGCTGCCGCTCTTGCTCGCGGGACGGGCGCGCTCAGTTCGCCGCAACTTTCTTAGGCACGATGCCTCAGGCTGGAGGCTGGGAGATGCCTCGGACTGGAGTGTCCACTGGCTGGGAGAGGGAGCGGGCGGGAGAGGTGGGGAGGATTTGCTGGAGGCTTCGGGCAGAGGCGGTGGCAGGGATGGTCACGGTCAGGTTGCGATCCTGTGCGGATTTTATTATTTGGGGTGGGAAGCAGCCTGCCGATCTCTCGCGTAACATCGGTGAGTGCCCCTTCGGCGCTCAACCACCCCAGGAAACCTCCCGGTTTCCCCGAAGGTGGGTTAGAATTACCCGGCGGTGTCACCTCCTTGATTTCCTCCTTGGACAAATACTACAGCTTCGTTTCAGTTGGACAAGCACTTTTTTCAACTCCTTCCCTTATGCGGGGGTCAGTTGCACTAGTTCTGTCGCTGGCACTTGTTGTGTCGTTCGTGTGGCACTGGGCAACTTGCAGGGATTCTGGGGCCTCATCGGCTCCTTCGTACACCATGGTGCACTGGAATATTCCCCGAACGCCCAGGACCGCTTCCCCGGTTTGTCCCTAATTTTTGGCTGCAAACAATTGCTAAGCAAGACAAAAGCATTCAAATCTTGCTTGTTCCTTGAGCGTTTGACTGTTTCAGACTGCCATCGTGATAAGCGGCACTCCAGAAGTCTAAATCAGCCAAATCTGACTTGAAAACAAGTGAGATTGGGCCGCTGAGCATGGCTTCCTGCTGTCAAGGGCGGCAGACGCCCCGTGGGCTCCAGGTTGCCCGCCCTAGGCCTGCCTCCTGCACTTTTCCTATTTGCACTGGGGTCTGTCAGTACAGCGGTCCTGCATATTTTTCCTTAATGGTTTTTTTTTGCACTAAGAAGAAAGGGGGCTGTGATGCTGGGAAAACACAGGAAGAGGAAGACATACTCATTGGGAATCCCTGTAAAATAGAGTGAGGCAGTGTCTTCTGAAAGCACCCATCAGGGCAACCCCAAGTGTGCACACACTCATGTTTCATGTCCTTGGTGTGATGGCTGCACATTAAGGATTGGTCGCAGGAATTTATAATTTATTCATTAGATTCCTATCCTACTCTTTTCTTTTGTAAGGATGTCAAGACAGCTTATATAATCCTCCTCTTCCTCACCATGTTATTTGGACAAAAACCTGGAAGGTAGATCAGGCTGAGAGTCAGTGGCTGGCCCTAAATCCCCTGTGAGCTTCAGGGCCACCTGGGCACTAGACCTGGATCTTGTGAGTCCCAGTCCAACAAAGCATTATGTCCTAATGCCTCTAAACCAAGCTGCTCATGGTTCCATTGAACTCGCATTTACTCCATAGTAAACATATGAAGAAATGTGCTGTTTTGCAGCTTAACCTTGGCTCAATTCTACCAGAAAATAAAATCCCTATTATCCCAGCAGCTGGTCTCTATGCATTTAAACTTGCATTCTGATCTTCAGTTTCAAAAACCTGCAGAGCAAAGTTTTAAAAATTATTATTAAAGTAGCATCCACCCATCGAGTGCTATGGACTCTATCACATCATCTCTATGATCCAGACAGTATAGAAATTAAATCTATTTTCTGGGTGCAGGCAGTAGCTGTTGGTGGAAATATTCATACTACACTCAAATACAGTCTTTAGGGGAAAAGCAGGGAGCAAACTAATCACTGAGCTGTGAGTTTCCAGATTTAGCCAGTTGATTTGCAGGCAGACTGAATTTTAATAATTCGGGAGGCAGAAGGTCATTACGAGTCCGAAGTGGAAGTTTGCTAACTTTTAAAACATGTTTTGGAACTTATGATGGTAGATTGGTTTGGTGTGTACATTTCTCTGACCAAGAAACCTTTCTTTCTAAAAATCCCAGAACTGCTGCAGCAGCTGTGATGGTTAAGTAATGAGGGAGGAATAAGCACTTTGTATATGTTCAGAGGTATGCCCATCTTTATATGTTCCAAGCATTGAAATCTCAATTTAAACCTGGTCTAAAGTGTACTCCAAGATAAACACTTTAAAATGCTGTCTGTTTTCACAAACAGTGCCCAATCAGTCTAAAACAGGTACTTCCAATTGAAAACTGAGTTTCTTCCACATCCTTTCTTCTGCATTAACAGGATAGACAAATGATGCGCAAGGGACTCAAGGACTATAAGGATATTTGCTGCTTAAAACATGGGGTGACCTGGTGCTGTGATATTGTGAAATAAAATGAATCCTTGGTGTATTCTGTCATGATGCCGAGAACATGAATGTACAGGGCTGTAGAGTGGAGAAGTATCTGAGACATTTATTTGATCAACGTTAGGCTGGGGAGTTCATATTTCAGCACTGCCCTTACACAGAGCTCTGTCGGCGCCCTGCCCCTCAACCTCTGCTGGTACGACTGGCCCTGACGAGAATTTACATCAAGAGTTGAGCTGGAGATGGGAAAAGTGCCTGTGGAGAAGGAGAGCTTTTTAAAAATAAGGGATCCTGTTTTAGGACAGAAATGCTGCTCTTCCTGTTTAATACCTAGAGAGAATCCACACAGTGGATTCTTGCATTGCTGACTATGTAATGTAGTTCTTAGAAGTGAAGAACAGAGTACTCCTGGAAATAGACAAAACCGACCAGGGAGGGATAGTTACAACAGATTCTTGTACAGAATTGCAACAGATTCTTCTCATGTACACCCACAGAGTAAATGGGAGTTTCTCAAATGCAGCTCCTCCTGAGCAGAGAACAGAAGGAACCAAAGTATAAGCGGCAAGAGGAAGAAATTGCATTGGAAAAACACACCCAGGTGGCTCAAGCAAGTAAACCAGCACCCACAGCACAGACATGCAGATTTGCAGATGCACACACACATATTTGCACTTGCACGTATTTGCACATGCACATGCCCAGAGGTCAAAGAGAAAAGTTAGTGTTGTGACTTTTCAGGAGACTTACTGAGTTATTGGAGGTAGACGTTTTGTGATTTGGGCAGTCTGGTCGCTCACAGGAGTTCATCATGCAGAAGGCGCTGGATTTGCAGTGTTTCACAAGGCTGGTCCTCAGGGTCACAGTTGTCTGCCTTGTGCCGTGTTCTCCCCTGGCTGCATCACAGTGGCTGGCCACATCTGCCCTGTTGGGACACAGCTAAGAGAAACTGATAGGGGGGGTAGAAACATTGCAGGAGCCTCCTTTCCTTCTTCCACTACTCCAACGGTTTTCTTGTGACTGCCCAGCCAAGGAAGTTCTTTAATCATTTTTGCTTCCTTTCCAATGTTCAGTCCCATTGTTTGACAAGCTGACCCTCTGGGTTTGTATTTCCTGGGCTGTTTGAAGAACCTTTCTGTGTGCAGAACTTTGGCCAAATTAAATAAAGTGCTACTCTTTATTGCTCTTGTGTGTTGGTAAGTAAGGCTGGAAAATTGTTTGCAATTATCAGAAAGAGAAGTTTGGCACCACATTCAGCATTACAGAAGTACTGGTGGCCTTTGCCCCGAATGTGTCAATTTCATTCCATTAACACAAACTCTCTCTTTGCACCTGCTTGATGCTCCTCTCCTCTCTCTTTTCTCTCACTATGAAATAATCAGGAGCCCTTATTAGTATTCCCGCATCCTTAGGGCAGATGGCTTGTGTCCCACCGGATGGGTTTGGCCTGCAGCCAACACAGCCAGTGGTGGGAGTTCTGGGCCAAAAACAAGTTGCCCAAATGTGATCTAGGAGTCCTCTGTGCAGAAAACCTGGGGAAAGATTCTGAATGTTCCTAGGCAACAACATAATATTTTGATGTGTCTAGGATATTTGCAGACCAGAATGCCAAAATCTGAAGAGAAGAACTAAGAAAGTTGAGCGCTTGTCATACATAAATCATGTGGGTTTTATGAGCCATATTTACTTTAATCTGTAGCAAAATCTCCAGCATGTGAGGAAACAAGAAAACCATTTTCTTATTAGTTGGATGTTACAGTTTCACAGCCTAGACAGTTATCTGAGATGTGACAGAACCACATGACCTTGATTTCATCCCAAACTGTGTGTGCTTGTTAAGCAATAATTCCAAAAGTTAGGAATTGGCTACTTAAATAATAGAAACATTTGTAAAGAGTTTAATTGGATAAACTTCAGTCAGGTAGGCAGCTAGATCCATTGTGCCGTAAAGAAGTTTAATAGCTCAGTGTTCTTACAGGAGGCATCTCAGGGTGTGTCCAGCTGAGCGATCAACTTCTCTGGCTGTAGAGTGAGGAGTATGAAGGTACACCCACTAGTATATCCTTCCCTAAAATGGGGTGGTCCAGGTGGGTTGGATTCTAGTTCCTTTCATCCCCAGGTGTAGTCTAACACATCTGGAGGACCCCTTATTGAGGAACATGCTGTGCCGTGTATTGTGTTTGGCCAAAAGAAATAGGCTGATGATAGATAAAGAATTAGTGACCACTTCTAATGCCAACTTTTTATCCTTTTTACACAAACCCTGCAGAATACTTGTTCAGTTTGATGGGCATATACTAAGACTTAAGGAACAGAGTGCTTCTGAGAGCTTGGCAGCCCAGAATTTATCATTGGTACCAGATCCAAACTCACAAATCCTTTCATGCCAGAATCACCTTGTGCTTTCCCTTTTGATTCAGGAGCTGAACATTTCCAAATGATTTCTTTTGTTAGATAGCTGGGAGTCAGAATCTCTTGCCAATCGAGTGCAAATCTCATTTGCCAGTAAATCCCAAACTACCTTCTGCCCACCACTGGCCCAAGGCATAGGTCATACTAGTAATTGGTTTCATCTCCCTTCTGCAGATGAAGGAAGTAGATAGAAAGACTAACAAGAGTTACTTTTTCCTCATA